TGTGTGTATGAGCGTGCGTTAAAGAAGAAAGAGTATGTATGTAGCGAAAATGAAACGAGGAGGAAGAAAGAGAAAGAGAAAGAATAATTCATCATCAAAAATCGGCAGCCCCCACCCACCCAGCCTGAGCCTATCCTAGATCTTCAGCTCGCGAAACCCCCGCACGTCCACCCGCCCCGTCCCATTCCGCTTCCACTCGCCCGTCCCCTCGTACCGCCCGCCGGGAATCACAATCTTGCCCGCGCCGCCCTTCCCCGCCGTCGCCGCTGCCGTCGCCGCCACGGACGTGCCCCGCACCTTCGGCAGCCCCAACGCCTTGCGCTGCCTCCGCGTCATCGGCTTCGCCGTGACGACAGCAACGGGTATGGGCTCGGGCGGCGGGCTGGGACTCATGCTGGATAGACTGGAGAGGCTGGACGAGGATGAGAGTGCCGGCGGGGAGAGGGAGAGGGAGAGCGAGGTGCCGCTGGTGGCGCTGCTTCTGCTCGTGCGTTCTTCTGCACCGGCGTCCGCGTCCGCGTCCGCTGCGTCTTCTTCTGCATCTTCCTCGTCGTCCTCTTCCTCTTCGTTGTCGTCGTCGTCCTCCGACCCGGACCCGGACCCGGACCCCATCTCAACGTCCCCATCCCCATCCACATCCACCTCCACGTCTTCCCCCTCCCCCTCCCCCTCGGCCTCCGCACCCGCGCCCTCGCGCTCTACCCTCCCCCCATAAACATACGCGCTCCTCGTCCTCTTCGCCACACTCTCGCTCTCGCTCCCCGCACTCCCCGCACTGCTCTCATCAAAGCTCCTCTTCGGGCTCCTCTGCACCCTCCCCATCCCCGCCGCACCCGCATCCACCGCACGCCCCGCCCCAAGCCTCGACCTCAACCGCGCCCCCACCGAGCTCCCGCTCCCGCTCCCACTCGCCCCGTTATTATTATCCCCCAGCCTCGACGACCCCTCCCCCGCACCCGCACCGGATCCCGAAGACGGCAGGACCGCAGGCAACGCTTTCGTCGGCGACGCGCTCGACAACTTGAGCCGCACCTTCGGCAGCACCGTCCTCCTCTTCTCCGGGTCCCCCTCCCTCTCCTTCCCATTCCCATCCCCATCCCCATCCCCATCCCCACCACCTCCCTCCCCACCCCCCGCCCCCGCCCGCGCAGCCCGCTTCTCCGCCCTCCGCCTCTCCTTCTCCCTCGCCTCCTTCTCCGCGCGCTTCCGCTCCGCCTCCATCCTCTTGCGCTCCTTCGCGTCCGCCTTGCTCTGCTGTTTCGAATTCGCATTCGTAGGGAAGGCAGAGGAGGAGGGGGAGGGGGGGTAGGGGTAGGGCGGCGTCTCGCGCACGACGGGGAGGCCCGTGTGCGGGCCTTTGAGGTTGCGGATGGAGGAGAAGTGTTCCCAGTCGTGGTAGCTGTGAAATGAAAGGTGGTCAGCGGGGGTTGGAAGACGGGACGAGACGGAGAAGGGGAGGGCAGGGAAGGAAGGAAGGAGGAGAGGGAAAGGCGCGAAGAACGTAAAATAAAAACCGAATGGAGAAACGAAGATAGTGCAAGAAAAAATCGAGTCGAAAGAATGTAGGGAGGATAAGAAACCAGCGGAGGCTGCGGTGAGTGCGCATGAAGAGGGGAGAGGACTGCGTAACGGGGAGCGAGCGAATGACGGTGGTGCAGGACGGAGATGGATCGATGGGATGGAGGCGAGGAAGACGGCAGTAGCGACGACGAAGTGGCCGCAACACCCTCATCTCCGTCCACCGGCACCACCGTCATCGTCAGGCACGGCCGCCATCCCGTGTCTCATTACGTTGGATGAGGAGCGGGGAGTACGTCGGCGTCGCAATAGGAGCCCTTGATGTGCATGCACCAGGTGGGCGCAACGACAATCCGCTAGGAGCACGCGGACGTAGACACGGACGAAGAAAGCTCGCGACGCTCCGACGCTCATACTCCCTCGTCGTCACGCCGTACACGACGCCCACACCTACAACACCCACGTATGTCTGTCGACGCTGACGACTCACATCCTCATTCTCACCCCGTCACCCAACACCATGCCTACAACGTCCACGTCCACGACGTCCGCACCTATGACGACCCGCATCCTCTTCACTTCCACCCTCCTCAAAAGCGGCGATGAGAACGACGCCGCGCCCACATGGCTGATGACGCTCGCGTACGCGTACGACACTCCCCATAATAGACGCAATGGACGTGAGCCCGACGCCGACGCGCACACACAGATGACGACGCCCACGTAGGCTTATTGGAAAGGACACCCTGCGACGCCTGGATCGTCATCCCTACACCGCGTAACGCGGCCGTCGGCTAACGCCCAACGCCCCAGTGTGGATGTCGACGACGTCCACGTCCACGGCGATGCCCACGGCAGATACGCCCACGCCCACCTACGCCGACGCCGACGCCCGCATACATCCTCATCCTCATCCTCGTCCAGACGTCCGCTCCCCATACACCAGCACCCACGGAGCCTACGACGATCACGCTCGCGCCCACTACGCCCGCGTCCGCCCCGCGCCCACGACATCCGCGTACGTCCTCATCCGCTCCTCATACACCAGCACCACGGAGACGACCAGCACCACGGAGACGACCGCGTCCGCGCGCACGACATCCCCATCCCAGACACCACGTACGTGCATGTCCGGACGTACGTATGTGCACGACGCGGCCCACGACACGGCCACGACACGGGCGCTGGGCTGGCGCGGGCGCTGGCACGACGCGGTCACGACGCGACACGGGCACGACACGACACGACTGACGCCCCCACGACACGGCTGACACTACACGGGCGCGACACGCCCGACGACGACACCGTATCCAGTGCGTACGCAGCGCGGTGATGCCGTACGCCGTACGCGGGGCCGAGGTCGCAGTCGCAGTCACAGTCGCCGTCAAATAGAAAGAGAAGGAAAGAAGGAAGGAAAGAGAGAAAGAAAGAAAGAGGAGCCGTCCGCGAGGAATAGAAGGAGGTGAAAGTGAAATAGTAGCTCCGTTCCACCCTCAGGTATCGAATGAAAGAAACCATGAAAGAAACAATGGGGCGCCAACGACGACGCAGAGAACCCTTTGGGCGACGTGCACTCCCGACGTCAAAAGAAAACAAAAAAGAAAAAGAAGAAGAAGTAAGAAAAATAATGGAATGGAAAGGATGGGAGGATGGGGTGCGCTGGCGCCCCACACCGCACTCCGACGACACAAAGCAGAAAAGCAGGACAAAGGACGCGCGCGCCGTTAAAAGGCGCTGGGGGCACACCTTCTTCCACCAGTGCACCCCCCTCCCCACGACATAAAAACGCCAAAAAGAAAGGGAAAAAAAACGAAAACCAAGAAGGCGAAGAAGAAAAAAAAGCAAGAACAGGGAAAGACACCTACGCGACGTATATCGTGCCCTCTTCAGCCGGTTCCGCCCCCATGGCCTCGTCGCCGTCGTTCTGCGCCCCTTCCCCATCCCCATCGACGTCGATGACCTCGCGGTGTCTCGCTGACGAGGGGGGCACCGAGGTCGATGCATGCGCATGTGCGGAGGCAGAGGGAGAGACGGAGGGGGCGAGTGAGGAGAGGGAGGAGAGGCTGCTGCTGGATGCGGAGGCGGAATTGGAGTGGAGGTGCGGGTGGGAGACGCCGAGGGAGGCGAGCGAGGAGGGGGTGAGGGTCGTCGTTGTCGTCGTCGCACCAGTTGTATTTGCGGTCGAAGTAGAAGTAGAAGGGGGAGGGGGAGGGGGATTTGCGGAGGTCGAGGCGTGTGCGGTATTCGAGTTGGAGTGGGTGGGGACGGTAGGCGATGGCGGGCCCCCGCCTGCGGCCCATTCAATGACGTAGACAAGGCCGGGCTGGATGACCTTGACGTTGCGGCGCGTGAGGTGCGCAAAGGCGCTCAGCTCCATGTGCCCGCCGTACGTCGCTGCAGGGGTCTCGTTAGCTCTGTTATGTCGTTTTGGAATCGTTTTGGAATCGTGGGGTCGAGTGGCACGGGCACAAAAATGCCTCGTCCAGCACCACAGGGCGCACATAAAGCAAGGGCGAGAGTAAGGGGAGGAACGCTTACCATTCTCGCGCATACACCTAAGATGCACCTCCAGCCCGCGCTCGTCCTCGACAAACGGCTCGTACCGCGTCTTGTGCCGCGCGATCCAGTCGCACACGTCGCGCCTTAGCTGCGGGTGTTTCGACGGCGAGCCATAGAGCTGATCTGAGAGGGCGCGGAAGAGACAGTTGCCGTCGCCGACGGTGGGCGCGGCGTACAACCCCAGCGAGCGCAGCTGCTCCGTCAGCAGCGCCGTGTTCTCCATCGGGTCCGTCAGCAGCTGTGTACCACCCCAACCCCGTCAGTATCCTGGGACACATAGCTAAAAGCGCGCGCGGTACTCACCCGCGCCTTACTCGACCGCGTCGTCCGGGGCCGCACTTTATCCCACATCGTCAAAAACGCAGTAAAAAAGCATAGGGAAGAGGGGGGACGTACGCTGCCCCTGCATCTTCTTCGCGCTCTTCTTGGGGGTGCCCATAATCAATCCTGTTTCGGGCGGGCAAGTCTATTCTCTAGGGGCAAGCGGGGATGGTGGTGGTCAGGAAGATCGGAGTTTGAATCGGGGATTGCGTGATTGCCGGAGGCCGGGCCGGGTGAGGGAGCGGATGCCGGGGCGCTGCGTGGCTGCGGCGAGGCGAGGTAGAGTAACAGAAGAGAAGCTGAGCGCGAGGCAGTACTGGAGTCGTGTGCGGCCGTGCGTTTTGCGAGGTATACTTGGACGACGCGCTGGAAAAAGCTGTGAAAGATGAGAAGATGTAACGGTGGATAGATGATCAGATGAGCGCGAACAGGCAACGATCGGTGAACGTTGATTGGCTGCCATGGCGACGCATTTATAACTTCACTGATATTGACGACAAAAGAAGCTCAAGACCTCTCCTTATAGTCCAAAGACCAAACGAGGAAATGTTTTATTTTATTTGGGAGGACGAGGGCGAAAAAATCGTTCACGACATCTGGAAACACTCGAGCCGGAGTCGAACCGACAATATCTGCGTTCGAACCCTTGTCTCTTCTTCACATCAAGCAGATGCGGACCCCTCCGCTTTCGAGTCTCTTCCTACTGTGAACCTGTTCACCATAAACTCAGCACTTGGCGCTGTTCACTGGCATTCAAGGTTTAACTTCAACTCAACTATCCTAATTCCCAATTACCTCCTCTACACCTCCAACTCAACACAACATCCCACCACCTCCAACAGATTAACACCCCCCAAGCTGCATAGCTTGAAGTGAGGATCACCACGGAAATGACGAAAAAAAGTTTGGAACACCTTACGACACCACGACTCGACCCGGAATCGAACCGGTTCCCGCTTACATTGCAAGACCTGCATTTTATTGGAGGCAGGTGCGGACCACCGCTACGAGTCTTCCTTTCCTTACCTTTGTGGGTTAATATACTGCACAACCTTTGCACCGCAGGAAAAAGGGATGGGTGCATTAGGCATAAGTAAATGTTTCTTATTTTATTTGGGAGGATGAGGGCGCAAAAAATGGTTCACAAATTGCAAGGCATCTGGAAAGACTCGAGCCGGAGTCGAACCGACAATATCTGTATTCAAACCCTCGACTCTTCTCACATCAAGCAGACGCGGACCACTCCGCTTTCGAGTCTTTTCTTACATACTGTAAACTTATTCAAGTTCAACACAAACTCAGCAATTTGGCTTTGGTGCTGTTCATCGGCATTCAAGATTCACCTTCAACTCGACTATTCCCAATATCTCATTCCCTCAAGTCCTCTACACACCGAACTCTGTCAACTCCAACAAATTCAATGAAGTCAACACGCATCCCTACCAGGATCACCACGAAGATGACGAAAAAAAATTGGAAGGCATACCACCTACGACTCGACCCGGAGTCGAACCGGGTTCCCTGCTTGCTAACACTATACATATGTGCGGAATTTGAGGCAGGTGCGGACCACCGCTACGAGTCTTCCTTTACTCACCTTTGGGACTGAATACTCTAGGTACATTTTACACTCACTTCTTGAACACAAATAGTCGGACTTAACCCGGGTTCAACCCGCTTGTAAAACTGACGGTGTCAGAAGTTCCTTGAGTATTTGAGGCAGCTCTATGGGTGCTTCCTTTGCTTACCTTTGTCCCTCAACATGCTGGACAACCTTTGCACTACGAGACAAAAACGTTTTACATCAACTCCCATGACTCAACCCGGAATCGAACCGGTTCCCGCTTACATTGCGAGACTGGCTTCTCATTGGAGGCAGGTGCGGACCAGCGCTACGAGTCTTTCCTTTGTTTACTTGGGGCTGGATATACTGGACAACCTTTGCACTGCGGGAAGGAAGGGAAAAAATGTGTCACTGACGATAATTTATGACTTGACCCGGAATCGAACCGGTTCCCTGCTACATTTATAACCTAAAGTATGATGGAGTGCAGGTGCGGACCACTTCTACGAGTCTTTCCTTTGCTTACTTGGGGCTGGATATACTGCACACCCTTTGCACCAAAAGAAGAGAAAAAAACTTCTGAGAACAACTGCAATGACTTGACTCGGAATTGAACCGGAGTTCCTGCTTGCAAACGAGATCCTCGGTTATTTGAGGCAGGTGCAGACCACCGCTACAAGTCTTGCTTTTACTTACCTCTGTGGCTGAATATCCCACACCACTTTTAAGCAAAAAAAAAAAAAAAAAAAACCCAGAAATGGACAGCTATGACTCGACCCGGAATCGAACCGGTTCCCGCTTGCAAACTTCAACGGTTGGCTATTGGAGGCAGGTGTGGACCACCGCTACAAGTCTTTCTTTCCTTACCTTGGGGGGTCAATATCCCACACCACTTTTAAGCCAGCAAAAAAAAAAAAAAAAAAACCAGAAATGGACATCTATGACTCGACCCGGAATCGAAACGGTTCCCGCTTGCAAACTTCAACGGTTGGCTATTGGAGGCAGGTGTGGACCACCACTACGAGTCTTCCCTCCCTCACCTTGGGAGCTTTACTGAACAACCTTTGCACCATGCGAAAGAAAAATACATCAGAAATGGTCGTTTATAACTCGACCCGGAATTGAACCGGTTCCCGCTTGCACTTGGAAATTGATTAAATTAATGTGACACAGGTGCGGACCACCGCTACGAGTCTCTCCTTACTCACCTTTGGGGGCTGTAATATACTGCACAACCTTTGCACCACAAAATAAAAAATGCAATGGAAATAGACTTCTATGCTCGACCCGAAATCGAACCGGTTCCCGCTTGCAAACCTTCGCTTCCTGGCTTATTGGAGGCAGGTCCGGACAACCGCTACGAGTCTTCCTCTGCTGACCTTTGGGGTTCAATATCCCACACCATTCTTGAGCCAGGAAAGAAAATGACGTGCTCGACTTCCATGACTCGACCCGGAATCGAACCGGGGTTCCTGCTTGCAAACCTTACACCAAAGAACACAAAGGTGAGGCAGGTGCAGATCACCGCTACGAGTCTTGACTTTCCCAACTTTTGGGCTGAATATCCCACACCACTCTTGAGCCATTTAAAAAAAGAAAACGGTGGAAATTGTTGATAACTCGACCCGGAATCGAACCGTGTTCCTGTTTGCAAACCTTTCATACTAAGCGACACAGGTGAGGCAGGTGCGGACCACGACTACAAGTCTTGCTTTCCTTACCTTCAAAACCAGTCAGGGTACTCTTGCACCGCCAAAAAAAAAGAGAGAGAAAAAAAGCTAAGACAATAACGACTCGCCCCGGAATTGAATCGGGTTCCCGCTTTTGATGCATGGTTGCTGACTATTGGAGGCAGGTGCGGACCACCGTTACGAGTCTTCGTTTCCTTACCTTTGTGGGTCGTAATGTACTGGACAACCTCTGCACTGTAGGAAAAAGGGATGGGTGCATTAGGCATTAATGTGTTTTGTTTTGTTTGGGAGGATGAGAGCGAAAAAATCGTTCACGACACATCTGGAAATACTCGAGCCGGAGTCGAACCGACAATATCTGCAGACTAATCATAATGAATCGCTATATCAAGCAGACGCGAACCACTCCGCTTTCGAGTCTTTTCCTGCATACTGTAAACCTGTTTAAACTCAACACAACAAACTCAGCATTTTGGCTTTGGCGCTGCTCGCTGGCATTTAACGTTCACCTTCAACTCTATTATTCTCAATACCTGATTCCCTTAAGTCCTCTACACAGCCAACTCTGTCAACTCCAACAAATTCAATGAAGTCAACACGCATCCCTACCAGGATCACCACGAAGATGATGAAAAATGATTGGAAGGCTTACAGTCGGCGACTCGACCCGGAATCGAACCGGTTTCCTGCTGGAACTTGCATGCACAAAGTGTATTGGAGGCGGGTGCAGACCACCGCTACGAGTCTTTTGTTCCTTGACCTCATAATACGGGCAAGCACAACTCGAAAACTTAAATCCACAGGCAGAAAAAAACTGCCGTATTTGTTGACTACCTACGACTCGACCCGGAATTGAACCTGTTCCCGCTTGCAAACATTGCATGAACCCCATTAATGTGACACAGGTGCGGACCACTGGTATGAGCCTTTCCTTTGCTTATCTTTGGGGCCGGATATACTAGACAGCCTTTGCACCAAAAGAAGAAGAAAAAAAAACATCCGAGAACGTCGGACTGCAATGACTCGACCCGGAATCGAACCGGTTCCCGCTTGCAAACTTTCTTCGTAATTGGAGGCAGGTGGGGACCACCTACAAGTCTTCCTTTCCTTACCTTTGGGGCTCAATATACCAGGGCACTTTTGAGCCACAAATGAAAATGATGTGATAGCCCTAGTAAGACTTGCCCCGGAATCGAACCGGGGTTCTTGGCCACGTCCCATTATTTACCACCCCATGTTGACCCCATATCTCTGAATTAAATTAAAACTACTGCTACACAGACTGATGAACCTCAAAACTGTGGCTGGGTAGGAACCTGACACTGCAACAGAAAAGATAGATGATCAAATATTTCAGGCTGATTGGTAGATGTTGATAATCAAAATAGATAGATCTGGCTACTGCATCACGGCAAACAGCAGCCAATGAGAGTAAAACTTCCCACAGCTCCCTCAAGTATAAAGGTCCAATGAGTCTTCCAAACATCATGACCTTTACCAGCATGCCCCGGGAGCTGACTACAATTGAAACTCGTTTAAAGAACATCTTGACCTGTGTTGCCATCACGGTCGACACACTTGATGTCCTTGTTAATACTCTGAGGATCTCTGCTTTGGAAGCTATCTCAAATACCACACAGTCTCTTTTGAAAATGGTGGAGGTATGTTCCCACGGAATTGGTGTTAAAGCAGCTGTTAATATGGATGCTCTAGGCTATCAAGCAGGATAAGACTGACTGCGCTGAGTTGATGGAGCATGTTGACAAGTTGCTCAATGCCATTATCAGTGTATATATGAAGTCGGACACTGGTACTGAATTGCCACCAAATGTCCTGAATCAGATGGCAAAATTTACTGAGTACTTCTTCCTTAGTACGCCCACCCAAATTTACAACTCAGTGTGTTCAGGACCCTCCACAAGATTCATGCCTTTGTTGAGGCTCAACAGAGTGGCAGTAAAATCAAGAAGTTCTTCCGAAAGGGGGAACTGAATGCCCTACTCAAGGATTGCAAGGCAGGATTGCAAGAAGGGATTGTGTTCTTCCAGGCAAGTGCTTCCTCTTGGACCAAATGTCAACCAACAATGGTGTAAAGGTCAGGATGACTACCAATGTGCTGGTGGATGCTAGGGAGATGCAAGATCAGGCATACCTCAGACACCTGGAGATACTCAACATCATTGAGGCAATGTCCAGCTCAGATTCTGCTTCTTCGGTATGTCAACAATTTTTCCCCAAGAGTCAAAATAACAGTGTTGCATATCACCACAAGTTGTATTCTGGCTCATACACAAGGTATATGATATCAAATAGTCTTGTATATTTCCCTCCCATACTAATGGATACCTCAGTTCTACTTCTGTCTCAATGCTCCCAGCAGAGCCCAAGATATTCCATGGGCGGGACTTGGAGCTCGCTGAAATTCTCAGGCATTTCAGTCAAAACACTCCAAGAATAGCTATTCTAGGTGCAGGCGGAATGGGCAAAACAAGTCTAGCCAGGGCTGTTTTGCATCATGAGCAAATCAATACCATGTATCATCAAAATCGATTCTTTGTTCCATGCGACACAGCATCAAGCAAAGTAGAACTTGCAGGTCTTATTGGAGCCCATCTAGGGATGAAACCAGCGAAGGACCTGAGCCAGGCAGTCCTATCACACTTTGCCAATGCAGCACCTAGCTTGTTGATTCTTGATAATATGGAGACACCATGGGAACCAGTTGAAACCCGCAAAGAGGTTGAAGAGTTTCTATCTCTTCTTGCCAATATTACGAGTCTTGCATTGGTGGTTGGTACACTTTGCACAAATACTTTTCATCTCATTTATGACATAACAGATCACAATGCGGGGAGCAGAGAAACCAGCAAAGGTCCAGTGGACTCGACCATTTCTATTGCCTCTCCAGCCCTTGGCCCAGGATGCTGCCCGAAAGATGTTCATTGACATTGCAGATAACAGGCATTCAATAGAGGAAGTAGACCAGATCCTTCATCTTGCAGGTAACATGCCACTCTCAATCAGCCTTTTGGCCCATCTGGTGGACATGGAAGGCTGCACCCAGATAATATCTCGCTGGGAGACAGAGAAAACTTCCCTCATCTCACAGGGATATGATAGAAGATCTAACCTGGAGCTATCCATTTCACTCTCCCTCTCAAGCCCAAGAATTACCTCTATGCCACACTCCCAAGATCTCTTGGCTCTACTGTCTATATTGCCAGATGGACTGTCGGATGCGGAACTCAAGCAAGCTGAATTTCCAATTGAAAATATCCTTGGTTGCAAAGCCACATTGCTTCGTACTGCTTTGGCATACATTGATGACTATAAACGTTTAAAGGTCTTGGTGCCCATCAGAGAGTACATGACAAGACTTTTGCCGCCAAAAGATCAGATAATAAGGCCACTTCTCGTGCACTTTCATGAGCTTTTAGAACTATATACTACAGTGTTTGGCAGGGAATCTGGAACTCTCCTGGTTGAGAGGATAACCTCAAACTACACAAACATCCACAATGTTCTCCGACATGGTCTACAGTTGCAACACCCTGACATAGCAAAGAGTATCTACAGCACATGTGATTTCAATCAATTTAGTGTGCATGTAGGACCTGGAGCAACTCCTCTTCTGGAAGATATCACTTCCCTTCTTCCACAGATAGATGACCATCGGTTGAAGGTTGCCTTCACTACTGAGCTGTTGGCTTCATCACGATATCTTAAATCAAATTCTCAGCCAGAGGCATTGATTACTCAGGCATTGGATCACCTCAAACACTTTGATGATACTAAGCTTGAATGTATGTTTTCTGTCAATGTTCATACAATGATGACTGACATCTCCTAGCAAGGTTCCATCGGAGTGTAGCGATATACCACGTGGAGCAGAACCATGACATCCCCAAAGCAACTGAACATTGTCAAATTTCTCTCCTTTTGGCAAGAGCAAATGGTGACTACAACAGTCAATGTACCACACTTGGTGTCTGTTCAGAGCTTGAATGGCATGCTGGTAATTATGCTGCCAGCCAAGCCTATGCACAGGAGACACAAAAGCTAGCTAAGATCTCGGGAAATGTGTACACAGAGGCATTTGGACTGTACTATGAGGCACTTTGTTGGCAGGCCGTGGGCGGTTACACACAATATATCTCTTGCTCCATAAGAGCCACCACACTTCTTCGTCTATGTGATATGTCCTCTGGGACTCTGGGACATCTTTTTATGAATTCTCGGGCTGAGGTTCACAAGCACAAATCAGAATATGTTGAGGCACACAAGATCCAGAATCAGCTTCTTCAAGAGATACACGAAATTCATAACCCTCTTCAGCTTAGTTTCACATTGGCAAACATTGCTGAAATTGAAACCTTGATGGGAGTCTCAAAGGATCTTATTCAAGAGAAAATTGATGTCTCCCAAGGCATTGCTAAAGCAAAAAGACATGTGATGTTAATTACTGCATGTGACACAATTCAGGCAGACCTCAATCTCAGAGAAGGTGATATGTCAAGCTTCCTATTTACCAGGTGTCTCCAATTAACCTGGGGAAGCTTCTCTGAGGCGGTGAGTTACTGTCTTGAGCGACTGGGGAATTACAGTCGCTGGGAAGGATCACAGCATCCTTCCTCATGGGCAACAGTTTTTCTTGCACATTCAAGCAAGGGGAAAGAGAGGCTGGGGACCCACAAGGCCCTGCAATTCCTGGGTGATGTTTTCCTCAGAGAGAATGATGATGAAGTCACAGCCACCTCTTTGTTTACTCTTGCCTTGGAGGGATTTACCCTGATGGATGTTCACCAAAGCAGAGCAGAATGCATAATTCGACTTGGGGACATGTCTAAGAAGAAGGGTGATTTGCCAAAGGCAGTGGAACTCTGGGAAACAGCCAGGCCACTCTTTGAGCGCTCATCCCAAACCAAGCAGGTTCATGACATTGATAGAAGGTTGACTGGAATTAGCGAGGATGTCAAGGAACAGCACAAAAAAAACTTGGCTCAACTCACTGAGCTTAATGCTCCTATGGGCACAGTGGAAGAGGCAGACATGGGTTTATTGAAAGATGAGTTGGAGGCTAAAGAAGTTAGGTTGGTTTTAATTTGATCTGCCAATGGTTTTCTGTGATCCCTTCCCTTTCCTGTGTACCAAGTCTCTCAGAAAATCTGTCTATGTATTTATTCACATTTGCGGGAAAGTTAAACATAAAAATACGGCTCAGACTCCTGAAGCAGCTTTAAGTTTTGAGAATTGTTGAGAAACTTGCCATTTTCTGCTCTCCTTGTCTGTCTGGATTTGGGTGTTACAACCGGTCACCTGCTTGCAAGCCTGAGGTTTGTGGAAGAAGATATTTGAGGCAGACTACAAGTCTTTCCATCCCTGCCTTCATAGGGATCACCACCGTAACCGGAAATTACCAC